GGAGGATGGATGTGTCATTAGCAGAGATCAGAGGAGCAGTCAGGTTTTGAGGTGATCAATAATGAATCTGCACATCATGAAGCTATATGATTCTAGATGAGTTATTTAACTTCTCTTTCCCAAAGGTTTTTTTTTAATATATAAAGAGAGAAAATGATTTTCATAGCATAACAATCTCTGAAGATAACACTTTATCTAGTACCTAATATACACAATTAGTATTATGGTTCAGATATGACGTGTCCCCCAAAAGCTCATGTGTGAGACAATGCAAGAAGGTTTGGAGGAGAAATGATTGGGTTATAGGCTTAACCTAATCAGTGAATCAATCCCTGATGAGCGGTAACTGGAGGCTGGTGGGGTGTGGCTGGAGGACAAGGCTCCTGGAGGGCATGGCTATGGGGTTTATATTTGTATATGGAGAGTGAAGTCTTTCCTTTTCTGATCACCGTATGAGCTGCTTCCCTTTGCTATACTCTCCTGCCATGATGTTCAGCCTCACCTCGAGCCCCGAGGAATAGAGCTGGCCTTCTGGGGACCAAGCCCTCTGAAACCGTGAACCCTCAAACTTTTTCCCCTCTGCATTGGTTCTGATTGGGTCCTCTAGTCACAGCAGTGAAAAAAGCTGACAAAGACAGTAACTATGAAGAGGAGTCTCCCTGTGTATGTAACAGCATAAATGCAGTGCCATTCTCCCTTCAGGATTAACAGAGATGAAAGAGAGGCGCAGGGAAACCCGACTTATCCTCATGTCTCTTGAGTGAAGTACGATATACTTCAAGTGTGGGTGGGAAGAACAGTCTTAGGACAAAAGGCACAAAGAGCTGAGATTACATAGTGTGGGGACATGAAAGCCAAGAGGTGATTTAAGGAGATTTTTAAATGAAAGGCAAGCTGAAACTTAGTGTGTAGTTTTGCTGAAAATGGTGCTTGGTAGCACAGACCCTTTTAAAAAGCAATGTTTTATTTATAAAAATGATGTGCAAGACCTTAACTGTTTATTTTTTAATTGCCAGAGTAATACATATTTATTATAGAAAACTTGTAAACAACTGAAAGAAACTGAACACCTATAAATAAATTGCACCTATTTTTCTAATGCCTACAGGTTCTGTTCACTGGAATTTCAGCTCTATCCATTCATCTATCTATCCCTGCATCCCTCCATCATTCATTTCTCTCTCTCTTTCTTTTACAGAGATAAAATTAAACTGTACGTCATGTAAACTGCTGTGTTTTGCATAGAAACTTTCATGGAGGCTAATGCTACTGAGAGAGATTTGGGTTAGCTCTATGTAGTAAGAAGAAAATGTCCAATGTGCTTTGTCAATGAGTTATTGAGGGAGAAAGCAACATTTTCTTCTTTGACAGTCTTAAAATGTAATAGGATAAACTCTCTTCTCATTGATGGCAAGGGTATGACCCCACTTTACTGCCCTGTTATTCTCTGATATGTGGACAAACCCTGAGAGTGCTTTTCTAAGGACTTACTTCTCCCAAAAGTGGCAGGAAGAAATATTGGTTAGAATATGATGTAAGAGAGACTTTTTATTAATCCCTCACCTACGCTTGTCTTGAGGACTGAAGAGTTCATCTTTCCCGAGAGAGTGAGTCTGCTCAACTTTTCATTTTTAAATATTAGAATCACTGTAAAATTCTACTCTGACTAATCCAGAATAAAGAGGGGGAAGATTAGTGTCACGAGGATATAGTTTTACATGAGCAAATCATTTTAAATAAGTTTAAATCTAAGAAGCTGCTTAGAGTGAAGGCATTTATGTCAGATTGGATGGGATAACTCTGTGTGTGTGTGTGTGCTTGTGTGCATGTAATAGTAAATGGGGAGGGAAGGATGAAGTGAGAGAGAAATTCAAAGACTTTTTGTATTTGCACGATTTCAGTATATAGACTATTGATATTAGAAGGTCTGGTTTAAGGGGTTATAATAGCTCTTTTGCTAAATTCACAACTTGTTGGATTCATTATCTTCTCATATGTATTTTTTTTTTGGTATCAGAACCTGTGCTTATGTAAACATGCATCCCTAAATGAGTAGAAATATGTAGACCCACCTACTGAAGACCTGGCTCTCATTTTTTATAGGGATGTAAGAAGGTAGGGAGAATACTTTCTTTGTTGAGTATTTTTGATTAAAAAGATATTAATTAAATCAATGAATTTAACAAATGTTCATTGAACTCGAGTATAAGCACTGTGTTGAAGATGGGGAATAGGAGATTGAAAGTATTAAGGAGTGACAACTAGCTTTTTAGTCATTGGTGCACATGTAACTGTTCATCTGTGTCTATTACTTGGTGAACAAAGAAGAGAAGTCCCTGTTACCTTCAGGATAACTCCTCAGCCAAACACCATTTCAATATGATTTCCACTCATCCTTTCAGCTTCATCTGTTAACACTTCCCATATTTACCTTTTGCTCTAGTCCTTTATGGGAAGATTATGGGAAGGATTTATGAAGTCCTCAAACATCTGTGGTTCTTGAAACTTCACGCCTCCTTGCCTGGGTCCTTGTGGTTTTCCTCTGATGGAATGCTTTGCTTGTTTGCTGACCCTTGCCCACAACATCTTTTCATATTTTCTGCTAAACAGTGAGATCCTGGAGAACAGCTGCCATTTCCTTCACTATGGCCTCTAGAACTTAGTATAATGCTTAGCATATAGAAGCCACACAGTCAGTGTGTTGAACAAATGAATGAATGAGGTGAAAGTAAGTGTAATCCAAATCTCTAGTGGTGATGAATACATGGGGCTTTTGTGTATTTGGGAAAGTCTTAATTTCTCTTTCATTTTTGAAGGGTAGTTTTGCTGAATTCTTGGTTTGTGGTTTTCTCTTTCAGCATTCTGACTGTATTATCTTTTTCTCTTCTGGCTTGTAAAGAAGAGAAAAACTCACTGAAAACCCTATGAATAGGGGCTGGGGTTGTGGCTCAGTGGAGGAGTGCTCACCTAGCACATGTAGGGGCATTGGTTTCCATCCTCAGCACCACATACAAATACCACATACAAATGTGTCCATCTACAACTAAAATATATATTTTTTAAAAAACCCTATGGAAGCTCCCTGTATGAGCTGATTTTTTTCTTGCTGTTTTTGATATTTTTTTCTTTGTGACCTTTGACAGTTTGATTATACTATGTCTTGGTGTGCATCTCTTTGGATATAAGCTAATTGGAACTTATTAACCTTTTTGAATTTGTATGACCATTTCCTTTTTCTAATCTGGGAAATCTTGGCCATTATTTCTTCATATAGCTTCTTTGTCTTTTTCTCATTCATGTCTGTGTTTGAGACTCCCATAATGTAAGTTGATCCACTTGATGATATTTCATATGTCTATTAGGCTGTCCTCATTTTTCTTAATTCTGTTTTCCTTTTGCTTCTGTGACTCAATAATTTCGAATGACCTATCTTCAAGTTTGCTGATTCTTGATCAAGTTGCTATTGAATCCCTCAAATGAATTTTTCAATTTAGTTGTTATATTCTTCAACTCCTGAATTTCTGAGTTTCTCTTTGTTGATATTCTAATTTTGTTAATGTATCAGTTTTCTGATTTCATTTATTTGTCTCTCTGTGTTCTCTTTTAGCACACTGAGCATTTTAAGATAATAATTTCAAATTCTTTTTCATGTAATTTCTGGATTTGTATTTCTTCAGGGTCAGCTGCTAGAGATTTATTTGGTTCTTATACTGGACCATGTTTCCTTGTGTGCTTTTTTAATTTTGTTGATATTTGGGCATCTCATCTCTTCCAGTCTTTATGGATTCACTTTGTACAGTAGAAGAGTGTACAGTCAGCCAAGTTAGAGATTTTAAGAATCTTCCAAGCATTCTCTGAGGATATGTCTTCCTGGCTTTTGTGTGTATTTCCTCACTTAAAAAGAGACCTCTGATATTATCCAGAGCCCATAATCCCTTGTTCCTTTTGGTGTCTGTCTGTGGTACTTCAGAGTCTCTAGTGCTGAAACGAGTTGCCACGTTTGCTTTTGTTTGCTGTGGCCACCAGGCATCCAAAGTAGACTGTTGTTCCATTCAGTAACTTAGTCATGCCTTTAGGAAGCACCCTGTAAAGACAGAAAGTAACTCTTCTTTTTCCCTCCTGAGGGAGAAATGAGGGATTGGAAGTTTACTCCTGATTGTGCTATTCTGTGCTAGGTGTGAGGGTACAGTCATGAGTAAATGCAAAAAAGTTTCTTATATGCTTTGATGTGGCTTTTCTTGGCTTTTCACTCACTTGGGGTGCTGCCAACTCTTAATTGGTTTCTGGAGTTCTTACAGTGAATCTGGTTTATATGTTGTTGTTAAATCAAAGTCTTCATGGTGGTATGAGGGCTTGGGGCTTCCTATTCAGCCATCTTACTTATATCACTCTTAAAGGGAATCCAAATCTGTTTTGTGAGATGGAGATAATTAATATTGTAGAGCTTTGATAATTAGCATTTGTAGAGATGGAAGCACATCTGTTCTCTCCCCCACCTTTCCAGTCAAGGATTAAAGAAGTCATTCCAGACTTCTGACTTTGTAATCTAGTGTCTGTCTCTCTTTAGTAATAGTGGTTAACATTTAGTAAATGCTGATTGTGTGTCAGTCATTTTTCATATTCCTATTATATGTAACAACTCACTTGTTATAATAGTTTAAAAGGAAGATAGTATGATTTCTCCCATTTTACACGTAAGAAAACTGAGTGGCAGAGAATCTATATAATTTATCTAAGGTCATACAGCTGATGATTATCTTAGACTCAATTTTCAAAAGGCATTAAATGGATATTTTGCAGCATTAAGTTAATATTTTTAAAATTAGAATGGTGTTGTTTATATTAGTCAAGTTTAAGCAAAATCATTTGTTGCAACAGGCAATTATTCAATTATTATGGATATTATTTTGTGTTGATTGTAAGTGGTAATTACACTGCTGAAAATATCTATAATTTACATATCCAAATGTAGAATGACATCAAAGTTGTATTTTTTGCAGGACAGAATTCATTCAGAGAGGCAGGATTTCAATCACAGGGGCTGGATTTCTCAACTGTATTTTGGAAACTTTTGCTGGCACATTCTTAAGACAGGGGGCACAGAAGGTAAGCTTGTTTCCACTTTGAACCAACATTATTTTAAAAAACCACAGGGATTCCAATAGGGCATTGAAAATGATTTAACAAGAAAAATTGTCATGAACAGACATAATTAGAAAAAATACAGTTAATAAACAAATGTATCCTGAAATAATTTCTCTCAATAATCTCAATTAATTAATTAAAATAAATCTAAATCAAAATAAAACTAAAGTACCACTATTAAATTAAAAATATGCTGAAGTCTTCTTGTGCTAATATAGAGAATACTTTAGTCTAATTAAGAACAATATCATAATGAATAAACATATTTATAGTACATGAAATATAACAAATATATAATAACTGCATAATAATAATTAATATTTATTAAGTGCTTACTATTATTATTATAGTAATTGGATGAATTTTGGTAATTGGATGATATAGTAATTGGATGATTATTGGATGAATTTTTATTTCTTATCTCACTTAATCCATATAAATCTTTAAAGTGGCTATTACTGTCCTTATATTATGGATGAGGAAAATAGACCTGGAACTCCCAAGTGTCCATTCTTATAGAGTTCAGGCTCTGATTTGAGGGAGCTTAGGCTTCCATGAAGGTGATTTAGAAACCCCTTTGTGGTTCTAAGGTCCCGTCTGCCCTGTTTAAAGTGGACTCTTTCTGTTTTTAATCTGTCTGACATGGCAGTACATCTGACTTTTATGTATTCCATTTTCTTGCCCTTGGAGCACTGTTTGAAAAATTTCTTTAGAAGAAAGTACATTTTTCATGTGTCCTCATATGCTTATTGCAGTGTTGATTATAGAGCAAGTACTCAGAAGTGTTTTATTATTGTTGTTATTCATTGTGATGGTAATTATTCCCATTATTTCCAGAATTTGCTCAGAATATAATGCATGTTACCTCATTTTCTTGTTGTATGGGATAAAGTTAGTGGATGGTCTAAGGAAATATTGTAATTACTGGTTAATGGACTCTTGCTTTTCATTTTTTTTTTCCAAGAAGGAACCTAGACCAGAAGGCATTATTGGGGGGGGGGGGGGTGTTGATAAGTGTGATGAATCAGTAGTTGGTACTGTTCCATACACCATAGTCATCATGTTGAGGTTGGTGTGTTCTTGGCTCAGTTGAGGTGGTTTCTGACACATATCCTGACTTGTCTAGATGACTTTATCCTGGGCTTGAAAGGAGTACTTAATTTCTAAAAGGTCTGATTTCACCTTTAATCACTAAGACATTATTGCTAGGTTTTCTGCTGTGTCACAATGTATGCATTTGTAAAACTCCCCATGTTCTAAAAAATTGCATTCTAAGTATGATGGGGGTGATGAGAAAAATAATTTTATTATCATGTCCCTGACTAAATGGGCTTCTTATGCATCCTTTAAATCTTGTGTTATAACAACAACATAATAATAATTAAATACATTTTTTTGTAATACAGGTTTATTAGAAGAATTTAATTCTTTTTTGGGGGAGGGATAACATTTAGCTGAATTAGTGTTCAAAATTAGCGTTTGATGATAGCGTTCCCTGTCATCAAATTGGCTGTAGTTGTTAATTTGTAAAAACCATTCTTGTCCTGTGAGCCATGTAGAAACAAGTGTTGGGCTGGATTTGGCCTTGGGGCTGTGGTTTGCCAACCCTTGCTTTAAATAAGTGAACATTGTTCAATTAATCCAAGTGGGTCTGTATTTGATCTGCCAATCAATCTGAACCTATTAATGACTTTTAGTCATACAGAGATTGTGTACATTTTGATCCTGTGATGTGCAAAAAGTGAACATTTTGATTCTTATTTTACAAATGACAAATGACTTAAAGAGATAAACATATCCAATATTTGGGTAACTGCTTGCCCACCTTCATTCTAGTAAAATATATGTTGAGTGCCTGTTTTGTGATTGGCACCATGCTCAGTGTAGGCTAAATGGATTCACTCAATGCCACAGAACCAGTACAGCATAGGATCTGGACTGAAATTCCTGTCTTTTGTCAACAAAACTTGCCTCTTGCTACTACTGTGCATTTCTCAGATGAATGAAACAGAGTCCTTACTTCTGATCAGCATGAACTTCACAAATGCTACTGTGCACCAGGTGAATTTGAGTTGTGGTCTCATTCCCTTTTGTTTCTTAGGATTCTTTTGTTGAAGTAACAGAAGTCACTTTAGGCTAGCTCATTGTGAGGGTACAAAGGTGGTGGGTGGTGGGGCTGGTAGGCTTCAGAAAGATCTGCACTGGGGTCTGAGAGCTGCCAAGCACCGTCTGCTGATGTCTTTTCTTTCTAAATTTTGTAGAAGAGATCCTTGCTGGCCTTGTTATAGGTCCAGAGCCACCAAAAGAATGAGGGACAGGTTATGTAAATACGTGTCATCCTCTACTCTGACCTTGTGGATCAGGGTTGGGGATTGTTTCTCAGAGAAAGGGCTGGTGGGAAGGGCAGATATTCCCAAAGTTTTCTGGCGTGTTATCACAGGAGTGTCTTTGTTCCTTGATGGTAGAGAGGGGGTTTTGTTTCTTTCTTTTTTTTTTTTTAAATTGAATCTTAGTAAATTTAGATTATTAATTGTAGTAAAGAACACATAACAAGTTTTACCATCTTATCCATTTTTAAGTGTGTATATTCACATTGTTGTGTAACAGATCTCCGTAATATTTAAATCTTGGAAACCTGAAGCTGTAAACCCATTAACAGTTCCCTTCCAACCAAGCCCCAGTTAATTATTATTTTGCTTTCTGTTTCTATGATTTTGACTGCTTTAGATACCTCATATAAGTGGAATCATATAGTATTTGACTTACTTCACTTACTATCCTCAGGTTTATTTTTATTGTAGGATATGAGATTTCCTTCTCTTTTTGGACTATGCAATAGTCATATATCTATATTTATATCTACCTGACTATATATATGTATATATGTGTGTCTATTTATACACATGAACACACACACACATTCATCCATCGATGGACATATTGATTGCTTTTGCCAGCTGGATATTGTGAAAAGTGCTGCTGTGAGCATGGGTGTACCAATATCTGAGATCCTCCTTTTAGTCCTTTTGGATATATACCTATAGTGAGATTACTGGATGGTTTTTAACTTTTTGAGGAACCTCCGCACTGTTCTTCTTATGGTTTTATTTAATCTTAATACTGATTCCTCCCCAACCTGTAGTACCTTGGACAGTGTTGAGTGTATTTATGTGAAAATAAATAGAAAGGAAATAGAATGCATAGTGATGTCAGTTGCTGATGCAGTTTCTGCTGAATTAATATTCAGTTAATACTGGAAAAAAATCAAGGTATTTAATTTTTAAAAGTTATGAACCCAACTGATTCCTCTTTATTTGTACTTTTTAATTATGCTTAGAAGTAAGAATACATTTTTTTTCTTCTAGTTTTACCCTTTCTGACTTTACTTTTTCTTTCCGAAGAGGCCAAGTTTAATTAGCTTTGCAGTTTTAGGAGCCACTCATGCTTAAGTGTCTTTTGCCTTTTATCCAAGTGGCGATGTTTTCCAGTGTCATCCTGACTTCCTGATAAACCTTCCTGGCTGAGCCTGCATAAATGGGTTCTGCAGAAGTCCCTGTAAGGGCGTTTTATTTTCACTTTTAGGCTCTATCCCTGAGGCTGTTCAGTAGTGGTAAAGGTGGGATCTGATATCTGTTTTTTTTTTTTTTTTCCCAATAAAAACAAAACTAGATACTCATAAACTTTAGATCTCTGTGTTTGTAAATTAGACTCTGGCTCCTGATGTGGCTCCCCACGCTGAGGTCACTGTGTTTCTGTGCCTCTGGGTACTTGTGCAGTTGCTTTTTTCTTTCTCTTCACTACTGAGACAGCTTGTGATTTGGGGGCCTTTCTGATACATGCTGACTTTTTTTTTTTGTACAAAATGTGTTCTTTTTATTAAGAATTAAAAAAACCATAATCACATTCTTCTTTGTCATAATTCCTTTTTAAACTTGGGCAAATGTGTATGGTGGATACAACTACATTTTAAATCTGGAAGGCACCTTTTGGGTGTCAGTTGTGTGACAGGCATTGGATGGAGTACTGGAGACACACGTAGGAATAAGATATAATTCACAAGATAGAGACTGCTGTCTGCAGCTTTGATTCTGGGCCATCTAGCTCAGGGTGGAAAGAGTGACAGGTAATGAAACAACATCTACTGATGCTAAGAAGTTACTGAGCCCTGCGTGGTGTTCAGTGTTCAGAATTATGATCAGTGCTGTGGACAATATTAAAGTGACAGCTAGTTTTTATGAAGGCTTATTAGATGTCATCATTGTGCTTAGCATACTTAGCCTTTTCTGAACAACTCAATGAGATAAAAATGTTATTCTCATTTTATGTATAGGAAAACTGAGGTCCCAAGTGGCAAAGCAGTTTTCTCAAGTTTTTAGAACTAGAAACTGGTGAACCTGGACTTTGAGCCAAAGTCTGTCTGACTCCAGAGTGTGCTCTTGATCGCTAGACCATGCTGTCCCCTCCATCTTCTCTGCACTTAAACTATGTGGGGCAAGGTGTGTGTGATTGATGTACCCAGAGTGAGGTGACACAGTGTGTACGGTAAGGATGAAAGAATGCAAGAATAAGGAACTCCGTAACAAGGAAGAACTCAGAACAGGCCAGAGGAGTGGGGCCCATGCTACTAGAAAGAGCCTTTGAGTAGTCAGTGAATATCTTCCCTTCTGTTCAGAGATCTGAGCCTCATTGTCCACACTGTAGCTGTCCTAAATTCCAGAGTGCCATGGGGGTTGAGGGGTGCTTTGTGTCATTTCTATCATTTTTATGTAACAGTATATCCTTTTTTTTTTTCTTTTTTTGTACTGGGGCTTGAACCCAGGGGCATTCAACCACTGAGCCACATCCCCAGCCCTATTTTGTATTTTATTTAGAGACAGGGTCTCACTGAGTTGCTGAGTACCTTGCTTTTGCTGAGGCTGGTTTTGAACTCATGATCCTCCTGTCTCAGCCTCCTGAGCCGA